TATATATATATATATATATATATATATAAGCTATTAGTTATCAAATAGTTATTATTAATAGTTAGTGTAAATGTTTTAGATATTTATTTAGTATTTTTAAAATACATTTAACATATTATTATTATAAAGCCTTGAATATTATTATGCATATTTTTAATGTTTTTTTTCTCCACAGGGGGTCAGAGAATGCCATTAATGCGTGGTCCACCTCCTCAGGGCATGATAGCACCTCCTCTTCCCAGACCGCCACCTCCTCCACCCATGATGATGGCTCCTCCTATGTCAGGACCCCCTCAGCCCCCCATGGCTCCAGTTGGACCACCCATGGGACCCATGCCGCTAGTGGGTATTTTCTGAATTGTAATCAGCTGGGTGTTTTATTCATTTCAAGGTTGCCTTTTACTATAAAAATGGTCATGTCAGTATCTCAAATGTTTTTCTCAATCATTGGCAGGTTGGAAGCATGAACCCTATGACATCGGCACCACCTCGGCCCATGCCTCAAGACCCTCCAAAGATCAGTCCCAGTGTTATACAGGCGGCCCCCACTGTTTACACAGCACCTCCTGCGCCTAAGAGAACTGACTTCAAGAGCCAGAAACAAGCACGCATGGTAAAGTATCAACACACCACTTACATATTGCTTATATGGCCTGTTTACCATTTCCACGGCATCCATTTTGGCATGGTTCATATTAATAAAAACTAGTATGTGTGTCTGTGAGAAATTTTAAGCCCCTTGTGCTTCCGTTGTAATCGTCTAAAATCTTTTCTCTTCATCTTTTTTTTCAGGAGGAGTTGTCAGCGTTGGTGGCAGAGCAGCAGGCCGCAGTCATGGCAGCTGGGCTTCTGGAATCAAAGAAGGAGGCTGTCACCGATGACAGCGTGATTGGGCCGAGCATGCCGGAGCCTGAACCTACACATGTGGAGGTTTAATATGATTCAGGATGACATGCTACACTGTCCCCTGTTTAGACAAAGAGATAGTCCAGCCCTAAATTAATTCCATTGGATAAGCCATCTCTAGTCCATTGTGTGCCATTAAGGGTGCAGAAATGACACATTTTACCTTTACAAATCGCATAAAGAAAGAATATAAAACAGCTATTGGATGAAAAGAAAAAATAGTGTTGTTTTAGTAATAATTAATACTATAATAATATTTATTAATATTTTAAATTAGCTTGTATTCTATAGTTTCACTTTTGCTTTCATTTGAATATTTATAATTCACTTAAATTTTTGTTTTAGTAGTTTTAGTACTTCAACTCAAATTCAGACTTGTTTCTTGCATCATTTAATTTCATTTATGTTTAGTTTAGGTTTAATTCTTTCATCTCAAATTTATATTTTATTTCATTTCAGCCTTATTAATGGTTAGCAGTTACAACACTGGTTAAAGAAAGTTAGTTTAAAAATAAAAATGGTTTGCTCTATAGGAATTCTTGGTATGAATAATGTTCTATTTATTTCTTATTAACATGCGCACAGCCTGCTGAAACTAGCACAGAAGATAAGAAGAAAGGAAAACAGGAAAAGGTGAAGAAATGCATCCGGGTTGCAGCTGGTGTCACATGGGAGGACACCAGCCTGTCAGAGTGGGATTCAGGTTTGTGGACATTTAGTAAATGCAGTCTTCTCTTTATATTTTCTTAATAAAGAAGCCTAGCACATAAATTATTGCTATGCTGTTCTTGGTTTCTCAGATGATTTCCGGATATTTTGTGGCGATCTGGGGAATGAGGTGAATGATGACATTCTGGCGAGAGCGTTTAGCCGTTATCCATCCTTCCTGAAGGCGAAGGTTGTTCGTGACAAACGCACTGGGAAAACAAAGGGTTATGGCTTTGTGAGCTTTAAAGATCCCAATGAATATGTGCGCGCCATGAGAGAAATGAACGGTGAGTTAATGAGGATAATAATGAGTGTGTTTAGATCAATAACAATAACAGTAAACAATAACAGAAAAATACAGTTCATTATATACATACTGTTCAAATGTGATTTTTTTATTTTTTATTAAATTTTTTTTTTTTTTTTAATTCTTTAAATATTTTTATTTAGCAAACATAGAGTAAATTAACCAGAAGTCTCAGTAAAGACATTAATAATGTTTCAAATGATTTCTATTCCAAATAAATGCTGTTCTTTTGAATTTTATATTCATCAAAGAATACTGAAAGAACTACATGTATCAGGAAAATATTAAGCAACATTTTTAACATTTTCATTTTCAACACTGATAAATAATAAAATTGTTTATTGAGCACCAAATCAGAATATTAGAATGATTTCCGCAGGATCATGTGACACTAAAGAGTAATGACTGTTAAAATTTCAGCTTTGCATCAGGGGAATAAAATACATTTGAATTCAAATTTAAATAGAAAATAGTTTCACAATATTAGTTTTAATTAGGGCTGGGTTTTGACACAAATTTCACGATTCGATTCTCATTCACAAGCTTGCGATTCGATACAATATTGATTATTTTGGATATATCAGGTACAGTACATGCCAAATTTTCTCAAGGAAAAAAAAATCTCTGTCGTAAAAACTTGATGGATTTATTCAAACATAAATTAAACACTGAAGACCAGTAAAATTTATAATGAATATGCTATATGGTGCATATATTTAGCAAAATGCCCCTCTCTACAGTTTATTTTTCTATCTGACTAATGAGTTTATGGTCACCGAATATGTTTTTCTGAGGTAAATGTGACGTTACGTGACATTGTAATTACAAGACATTATATTGACATCTTTGCGCGGCTGAGAAACTGATTGTGCGATTACATGAGACAGAATTGTAAAGTTGTACTCTTTATTTTAACTTACCTTTGGATGTTTAGTCATGTTTATTTTGTGCTGAAGCTGGTATTAATGTGGAGGAGATGATCCAGGCTAGACTAATCGATTCTTGGGATTTAAGAATCGATATCGTTCCGTAAAAATGAGAATCGATTAATATCGAGATATCAATATTTTTTACCCAGCCCTAGTTTTAATATATTTTTGATCAAATAAATGCAGCCTTGCTGTTCAAAAACTGTTGGATGTCAGTGTATGTTTTTAACATTTTATTTGACAGAAATATACAGTGCAAAAATAACTAGGGAAACACTGCAGTAGCTTTACTAAACATATGTTAAATGATCCTGGACATTATTCATTTAGAATTTTTATTGAGAGTAAAAATGGCTAAAGAGTGACTCAAACTCGTCAGATCTGTATTGGCCCGAATTGTGAAAATTAGCTTCATTTTGATATGATACTGTATCAAAATGAATTTTTTTTTTTTTTATGATCATCACGCTCTAAACACATTCACTTGTCTTTGTCTTTAGGGAGGTATGTGGGCAGCAGACCCATCAAACTGAGAAAGAGTTCATGGAAGGATCGTAATCTGGAGGTCGTGCGCAAGAAACAGAAGGAGAAAAAGAAGTTGGGACTGAGATAATCCATCTGTACTGAAACTGCGGACTCGATTTGTGTGTGTGTCACCCAGGACCTGTATAATGGAGTAGGAATCACTCACACTCCTGCAATAGTTGCAAATAAACAAGCGTCAGCTTCTCATATGGCCCTTATTACTAATAAATCTACATATATTTCCATGTGTAGTATTGCACACTGACCTCTCCCTCTCTTAGCATGCTGAAAAATCATGCAAATTTGTTCACTTGTCGAGAGATTTTTAAACGTATAAAGTGTGGTAATGAAACTGGTTTGGGTGTTGATAATATTGGTTTTGTTTTCTTCATTTTTTTTTCTTCAAATCTCTCAGAAGCAACTAACTTTAAAGTTCACCAAGGCAGTTACATTTGTTGCGATACAAATTGGATGTTTTAAGTAATATGTGTAAAAAAGGCAAATCTTTTCAATAAACTGAGGAGTTTCTTTAGTTTCAATTCTAACCTGTTTTGTTTAACTAATTTCAATTCAAAACATTGAATGTCACAACTGATTACTCTGAAAACAACCACCAGGGGGCATCACTTAGTTGTTATTTCGTCTTGAATGGTAAATATTTTTTTAAACCTCTTGTAAATGTTAATAATACATGTATTTTAAATTTAAACACATAATTATAAAAATACCATTTATTAATTATCTGGGAAAAGCTCTCATACAGGAGGAGTTACTAAATGGTAAATGGTTAGTAAATGGTTTTTCTCCTAACCACACACGCCCAAATGCATGTATTTCTAAAAGACTCATTTCCTAAAGCTGGGGTGAAAAAGCAGAAATGGCTCGTGCATCAACCTGTCTGACAAACAACTGAGAATATACGCACATCACAACACCAAGAGAAAATGCACATTTTTTTAAACCTCTGGTAAATGTTAATAATACATGTATTTTAAATTTAAACACATAATTATAAAAATACCATTTATTAATTATTTGGGAAAAGCTCTCATACAGGAGGAGTTACTAAATGGTAAATGGTTAGTAAATGGTTTTCTCCTAACCACACACGCCCACTTGCATGTATTTCTAAAAGACTCATTTCCTAAAGCTGGGGTGAAAAAGCAGAAATGGCTCGTGCATCAACCTGTCTGACAAACAACTGAGAATATACGCACATCACAACACCAAGAGAAAATGCACCGTAGAGCCACATGTGAGTTTTTAGTTCTTAATCAAAATTAGGACAGCTCTTTATTTATTTTTTTAGTTTAATGTTATCTGATTGTTTTCAGGAGCCTGTTTAAAAGTATACTTGTTCTGTGTGTACCGTCTCTGTTCGTGCTTTCACATTTAGTTCTCTGTGTTTCATTTCATTGTCCATCTGTTAACATTTCATATTTGGTTGTGTAGTTTCTTTTATTTGTTCGTGTTGTTACCATATTCATGTACAAACTACAGTATTTCCCGGGAATCCTGTGATGTGGTATGTCATGTCTTGTTGAAAGTACCTCGAAAAACCATGGAATATTATAGTACTTTGAGATACACCTTAGTACTGATTATGAAAAAAGTATGGGAACTTTGTTTCCATATAATATACAATGATATACCATGTTTGATAACCACTCGTGCATTATGGTACTCCAAGGTACTTAAAGAATACCAATGCATTTATTGTATTTTTTGATTAATACTATAGTAGTGACTGATTACAATATTTATGTGCTATTATGATATTACTTCAAAACAAGCAAAGAATACCATTGTACTATCCTTTTATATGCCACAACAGTCCATAAACCCAGTGTTTGTCTTAACAACATAAATCACAAAATTACTGCTTAAATATTAGGGTCTCATAATTTTAAAATTTATATTCAGGTTAAATGTTTTGCCTTTATTATTCTGTTAATTCTACTGGATGACGATTGCGAGCCTCCGCCCATCGATCAGCGGCGCGTTCCAGGCTTCCTTTTGTCCAACGGGCCACCTCAGTGGAGCATTCCATTCTGAAAAGGAGGTGAAAACAGCTTTTTTTATGTTTTAGAAAGTATTACTTTGTACAGCAAACAGCGCTCCTGTCACATTCAGCGGAAGTAGACGACGAAACTAGGTTCTGCATATTTTGCAATGCGTCGATACAGCTCATAAAAATGGTCTCGACCGCGTTTGGGTAAAGCGAGGCTGCCCACAAGTTGTTTTGGGAGCGGCGAAGAGCCCCTCAGCTCTAACAGCGAGCAGAGAGATGAGATGGGCGGGAGAACACGCGGGGACAATGCCGCTGTTCCTGGGAATCTGCTCGATTTGAGTCTTCTCTCTGAGTAAATATTTTTTTGAATGTCACAGTGGTGACATTATGTATCTGAGCGGGATTTTTGGAGTTGCTTGAGGGCGCGCTGGACCTTTCTTCCTCCTCCTCTTCCTCTTTTTGCTGTTTATTGGGGTTCTCCGCTCAAACGGCGCTCAGTCTTTGGCGTCTGATGGTGCTTCTGCGCAATCCAGATTATTACTACACTATTGCGAAATAAAACCAGGATGTAAGGAAAAGCGTTGATGTGGGAAGGAACTTTGGAAACGCATCCTGATCCAAACACGGAGCCCTGCTGGTCCCTCCCGCCTAAGCTGTAGATAGGGATGGTGGTAAGTTGTATTTCTGTATTAAACACTTCACAATCAGCCTCAGTGTTTACGTTATTGGTTTTCCACAGCAGACTATTTCAACTGCCTCCACTTTCCTCCTACTGATTGAGTTGGTTGTATTGATGCTGTTGCCATTAGTTACAAGATCAGCATCAGCAACACACTGCATCTGACAAACTGCTATTGTCCCTCATCTCATGTTGCTAGAAAGGGGTTCACTGTTTTTTTTTGGGGGGGGGGGGGGGATTCCCACCCACCCAGCACTATTCCTTTGGGAGTACAGCTCCTTTTCAGGGTATAATTTCATTTATCTGCCATTGTGATGCGCTCATCATCAATATCCATTTCAGTTGACCGGCATATGCATCATCTTTTGTTGTGCTTGCATCATCATTTCTCATTCTGATCTAACAAAGACATGTCCTGAAACTCCTTGTCCCATCGTGAATATTTCAGGTGGCAGGATACATGCATTTAGACAGTCTACAGAAGGTATTTGAGTCGTCTAGACTAATGTTGTTGATCAAATTACTGTTTGCTCAGTGGTTTGTTTAAAAGCAGTGGACCTGCCGGTTCTTCTAGAGACTAACTAACTGACAAACATACTCACTTTGTTTAAGCGTATGGCTTGATTTCTTGGGAAAGCACTGGTCTGTGTTAATGCTTACTCAGTCAACATTGACTAAGACCAGTCATCGGTTAAATTGCAATGACGTGTAGTCAAAGTTCTTTGTAAATCACCACAAAGAGTTGCAACAAGGGAAACTATGATTTCGGCATGTTAAGAGATGGGATGATTACATTCATTAAACCACCAACCAACCAAATTTGTTTGTGGTGTCTTTTAGCTGTAGAGTTTCGTCTGTTGCCTGAATCTATTTGCTTAAACGGATGAGAACGTTGTCATTGTTTACTCTCTCTTTCATGTTTTTCCAAACCAGTATGACTTTCTTTCTGTGGAACACCAAAGGAGAAGAATATTTACAGAAAACATTAGAAGTGAATGGGGACCAGAGACTGTCAAGCTCAAAAAAGCACCCTAAAACAATCCATATAATTTGTATGATATTTTCCCAAGCTTTATAAAGTCAAATGACAGGTTTATATGTGGGACTGACTAATGTTAAACTAAATATTAAAATGTAACTAAAATTTAAATTCAGAATAAAATTTAAAGGAAAAGATCAGCCAAAAATGAAAATTTGCAGAGAATTTACTCACCCTCAGGCCATCCAAGCCTAGATGAGTTTGTTTCTTCATCTGGACAGATTTGGATAAAAAGCATTGCATCACTTGCTCACCAATGGATCCTCTGTAGTAAATGGGTGCCGTCAGAATGAAAGTCCAAACAGTTGATAAAAACATCACAATGATCCACATGTAATCTACACAACTCCAGTCCATCAATTAATGTCTTGTGAAGCTGTGTGTTTGTAATAAAAAATAACCCTATCATTAAGATGTTAAGAACTTTTAACCATTGCTTCCAGCTAAAATACAGTGTTCTCTATCCATAATATTGCTTTTTTCAGTGTAAAGAGAGAAATATGCACATACCAATCAGTGTTTACAAGTGAAAACAGTCCAAAACTTGTGATGTTTTTATCAGCTGTTTGGACTCTCATTCTGACGGCACCCATTCACTGCAGAGGATCCGCTGGTGAGCAAGTGATGTAATGCTAAACTTCTCTAAATCTGTTCTGATAGAGAAACAAACTCATCTACATCTTGGATGGCTTGAGGGTGAGCAAATGTTCTGCAAATTAAAATTTTTTGGTTAAACGATTCCTTGTTTGACAGCTGTGTATTTCAAAGAAGAAGGAAAGCCTTACTAGTTTGAAAGGATGATCAAATTATGACAATTTGTATTTTTAGGTGTACTGTTCATTTAAGTAGCCGTCTTAGTTTTAAGTCCGTAGACGTTAATTCTCCTTTATGTTGATTTGAGATCGGTGCTTTGTTAAGGCTGGGATTAGTGCGGGCTTGGTCAGACTTCAAATAAGCTCACGGTGAAAACTCATGACTAGAGCGAGAGAGACGCTGGGTGTGATGAACCACTTGGCGATCAAGGTGTTTAATTACCGCCACAGCATCCTGGTTTAGCAGAGATCATGTGTAGGAACTTGGCAGTGTGTCTGTGGACACTCCTGTCTGGAAGATTTACGATGGATATTTGGGAGTCAGAAGACTGTTCGCTTTTGGCGCATAAACATTATATCGAACATTTATCGAACTCTTCATATCGTTTTATCGAGGAAAATTATATCGCGATAATTATCATTATCGAATTATCGCCCAGCCCTATGTGCAGTAGAAATCAATACAGTTTGACTCTTAATGCGGTCTAAAGTTCCTCCTTGATGATAAATGTCTAGGCAGAGCTTGGCACAGCCTGCATGTGGGCTGTCTTGAAGACCCGGCATAGTTTAATTATTATTTTATTATTTAATAATTAATAATAAATATAAAGAGCATAGGCTCAGGCAGTATTCCAGAATGCATTTACTTTATATAATAGACTAAAGCTTGGATATTAAATTAAAGAGATAGCTAGTTCACCCAAAAATGAAAATTCTGTCATTAATTACTCACCCTCATGTCGTTGTATGCTGTTCTGTCAGCCGCACCACGCGGATACGTTGTTTTCATTCAAATCAAAGCGTAAATAAACGTAGAAAACGTATCCGCGTGGCGCGGCTGACAGAACAGCATACGCTGTTTGCGTTCAGTGTTGAATAAAGTTGTTATTTTTGTTTTCTTTGCTTACAAAAAGTATTCTCGTAGCTTAGTAAAATTACGGTTGAACCCCTGATGTCACATGGATTATTTTACCGATCTCCTTGCTACGTTTCTGGATGTTGATCGCGTTAATTACATTGATGTCTATGGGAGGGTCAGAGAGCTCTCAGAATGCATCAAAAATATCTTAATTTGTGTTCCGAAGATGAACGGAGGTCTTACGGGTTTAGAACGACATGAGGGTAATTAATCACAGAATTTTCTTTTTTGAGTGAACTATCCCTTTAAGGTTACCAGTTCAAGCTTAAAGGGATAGCGCACCCAAAAATGAAAATTACCTCATGATTTACTCACCCTCTAGCCATCCTAGGTGTTATAAGACTTTCTTCTTTCAGATGAATACAATCGGAGTTAGATTAAAAATGTCCTGGCTCTTCCAAGCTTTATAATGGCAATGAATGGGTGTCGAGATTTTGAAGCTAAATAAAGTGCATTCACCCATCATAAAAAGTACTCCACAAGGTTCCGAGGGGTTAATAAAGGCCTTATGAAGTGAATTGTTTGTAAGAATAATATCTAGGCTATATTTTAAACTTTATAAACCGCAATCTCTAGCTTCCGCTAACTGTCGCACTCACGTTAACGAGAGAGTGGCATTCCAGCAGATGATGTAGGCGTAGCGTAAAAATTCCAATATTTGGGTTTGGAATAAATATTAAATGTTAAAAGAGTAACAAAAGATCTTGTTGTTCCTAACTTGTAGGACTTTCTTTCTCCTGTGGAACATAAAAGAAGATATTTGACCCTGGACCACAAAACCCTACCTGGTCTCATGGCAAAAACGTACCTGGGGGAACTTTTTTGCGAGACGCGAAATACGTACCAATAAGCACATATCACTGCAGTTTCCAAAAGAAATGAACACTAGAGGCAGTAAAACTTTGACACCTTTTATTCCTTTTCACACAAATTTACAGTTTTGATTAATAAAGTGTAATTTTCGCACAATTACTTGAAGAATATTATGTTATGACTTCAAAACAATTTTAATATGCTGATTTGAGATTTGAAAACTGATGCTTTTGAATGTTAGCATCGCACATATCCAGCTTCATATCTATGGGTTTTCATAAACGGTAGGTTTGTTCGGTAGCTCACGGAGTACGGAGACATACTTGAGAGGTGAGGAGCTCCGGTTCGAATCCCGTGTAACTACGGTTCGACAAAACAGTTCAAATCTGCATATAAGGAAGTTCAAATGGCACGGTTGTATCAACAAATGCGTTTTTATACCAGTTTTGCATTTGTTAACACTATCGTGTAGGTTTAGGTTTGGTGTAGGGCATATTTCTAACACGATAGAGCATTAACTTTTAGCGACAGTCCCCGGATATTTGAATTCTGAACATCTGCAATACATACCTGAAGCAACGTAATAAAAACACAGCAATACGTACCTATATCAACATAAAAAAAACGTGCCAGGGTTCACGTACATAAGTAGCATGAGTATATTTGTAGCAAAAACCAACAGTACATTGTATGGGTCAAAATTATCGATTTTTCTCTTATGCCAAAATCATTAAGATATTAAATAAAGATCATGAAGATTCCATGATCTCCCATGTTCCATGAATATATTTTGTAAATGTCCTTCCATAAATATATCAAAACTTAATTTTTGATTAGTAATATGCATTGCTAAGGACTTCATTTGGACAACTTTAAAGGCGATTTTCTCAATATTTTGATTTTTTTTGCACCCTCAGATTCCAGATTTTCAAATAGTTGTATCTCAGCCAAATACTGTCCTAACCTAACAAACCATACATCAATGGAAATCTTATTTATTGATGCATAGGTTAAATCTCAATTTCAAAAAAATTGACCCTTGTGACTGGTTTTGTGGTCACATATTTTGAGAATATTTGTGTTTATTTGTCATAGTATTGTTTTTTTTCTCCATACAATGGATGCAAATAGTCACAAAGTCTATTTGGTTGCCCACATTTATCAGAACACAGTATAAAAATATTTAATATCTTCTTTTGTTTTCCACAGAAGAAAGACATACAGGTTTGAAAGGAATTTTCATTTTTGCGTGAGCTGGCCCTTTAACTGTTGTTTTAATCTCATTGATGACCTGTCAGCGCTGTTATGTGATGTTTTTCAGTCTGAAAAGGTAGTCTTTGGTCTTTCAAAAAGCAACAGCCCGCTTGGAACCATAAAGCAAGGATGGAAATTAAAAGGAGCCTATCAAT